CGAAGCCTTAGAGCATGGAGTGACCCTCTGACACAGGCTGGGAGGGCTTGGGGCTGGATGTATGGCAAGCTAGCTAAGGCAGGGCAGTGGTCATGACAGGCAGATCCCAGCGTTGAGTCCCACCCCAGCCTTCAAGGAGCTCACAGGAATGTCTCGGAGGGCCTGGTTCTCAGCTTTCGGACGCCCCTTCTTCTTCCCTTCAGTCCTGTCACTGGCTGGACTTCCCGAGTCAAAGCAGAGTGGGGCCTGGCTGGGCACTGTCTGCCCACCCCGGGCCACCGGCATCCCTGCAACACATGATATGTCAAGACTTAGAAGCTGTGTTGCCCACGGCCTCGCCTGCCACCCAGGGGGCTGGTCAGGCCTGGAATAAGCCCCACTTCCCCCATAGTGAAGCATGGGGAATGGGAGACTATGGTCAGCCTAGGACAAGAATCCAGGGCCCCAGGCTGCCCCCACCCTGGGAAGGCTCTCAAGAGCCCAGGCAGCCCAGGAGCTGGACCACTGGGGAACTGGGAGCCAGGCAGAAGTCCCACACCCAGCACTGGCTGCCTGCGATGATCGCCTAGAGTTGACCTTGGCCTGACCTCTCTTACCCAACTTTGGTGGGTCGTGCAGCACAGGAAGTCGGACCTCATTCCGGCCTCCATCCTTCCCAGGTCCACTCTTGGTGGACCCTGGGAGCCGGCGGCCTCCTCCAACGCAGAAGGGATCAGTCATCTCTGCACAGCAAGTGGACAGACCTGTGAGGCCTACCAGGCCTGAGTCAAGACTTGAAATGGGCTGGCCCTGAGCCCCGCCCCCCCAACAGGCCCCTCTCTGGCTCAGGAGAAGAGAGACTACCTGCTTATGTATTTGGCCACATGGGAAAATAGATGATGGAGGCTTCTGGCTTAGGGGAGGGGCTGCCCAGATGAGATCCCCCCCCAATTATACAGGAGACACAATTATCTTGGAAGCATCTAACACTGTCCTGAAACCCTCATCAGCTCCCACAGACTTCTTCTGTCCCCAGACACACAGTCCCAGAGAGTGCCAAGAATCACACCTGCTACTGGGCTGGGCGGGGTGGCTAGAGAGTGTTCAGAAGGGAAGAGGTCCACAGCATCCCTCCCAGGGGCCAACTATGGCACCAGTATGGCTGCTAGCTCACGGGCTGTGCTGGCTCAGGACCTTGGGACACCTTTCTCCACAGCCCCACCCAGACCAAAGGCAATGCCACACTACTTGGGTGGGCATCCCTGGATACTTCTCTCCACGACACAGGTGGCAGATGGCCAAGATGGGCACTGAGGGCCCCTAGCCTACTCCCCAACTTAGCAAGTTCCCGAGGCGACGTAGGTGGCTAAGGACCGAGCACCCTACAAGCACCTGGTTCTGGTCCCCACGCCAGCTGAACCTTCCTATCTGACCCTCTTCTCAGCCTTGTCTCCAGCAGGAATCCCTCAGCCAAACCTCTACCTGGCTGACCTCCTCCCCACCTCCACCCCCCAAAGCCTCTCTGTCCCCCACCTACAGGCCCACCAGCACCACTCCTCCAGAGACCACCAGCCAGCCACTGGCCACAAGGAATACCCCACTGCCCAAGGCTGGGTCTCCATAGGCCTGTTCTGCTGGGGGACCCCAGACCCTGAGAGCTGGGGGGAGGGACTCTGAGCTCAGCCCTTCGGGATCCTCCCACAGGGACACCCAAGGCCACAGGAAGGGGGCTGGGGGCAGTTGTGTGGGTAGGGGGCCCCTCTGGCAGTTCCCAACTAACTTTAGATCAGAGGAGATGGGGAGGGACTGCAGTGCCTAGAGGGGGTCCAGAGGCTGAGGTAAAAAGGTAAGGACAGTCACTACCCGCTGCCAAGGGGGTGCCCGTACCCTAAGCCTGGGGGGAGGTACGGGTCTACGTGGGCCTAAACAAACTTCTCCGAAGTCCTCACGAGGAAACTTCTAAAGGAGACTGCCAGCATCAGTCACCCCAGCCCCAGGATAACTCCAACAGCCTGGGGTGTGGGTGCCTGCCAAGAACCCACTTTCCAATCTCTCTCCAGCTTGGGTGGAGAATTCAGAGCTGGGGGGTTGGGGACAGGGCTGCCCTAGGAGGCTGACACCCTCTTTCCATCCGGGACCTGTCACTTGCACAACAGGAGGAAGAGATTCCACCCTGCCTCAGGGCCCAGC